AATCCGAGAGATTTCTCTCTTTTCCTCTTCTTTCTTATTTACAATATATCCTTTTCACAGTTAAGGGCCCAGGAAAAGACCATACTGCCCCTCCCTTGGAAAGGAGACCTGGACGGACGCTTGCGCTCCCCCGTGTATTCTGATGGCCGCTGACGTCTCAACCACGGTGCGGAACTCGCACTCCGTTAGCCAGAAGTCGGAGGACAATTGCTTCACCGCCACCTCGCTCCTGTATGCCAGCGTCGCGTGGTACACCATCCCGAAGCCGCCACACCCGACGATGCGGGACGCGTCAAAGTTGCGCGTCGCCTTCATCACATCCTCCAGCGTCATCGCGCACTCATCGCTGTCTTCCAATTCGCCGATAGAGCAGAGCAGCACCAGCGTGGACTTGGATGCCAACTTGAGGCCGCCGCTGTCGTCGTCGTTCGCCGGCACCCTGGCATTGTCCTCCTGCCGCTTCAACCACACGGCCATGGCCACGCTGATCGCCACCACGACATCGGCGCTGGCGCTCCGCTCCTGCTTGCCGCCACCGCCGCCGTCCGCCGCGCGCACTGCGCAACGTGGATGCCGTACAGCATTGGGTTCCCCTGGAAATACCCGCACGAGAACGTGGAGAATTGCTCGCCCACAGGGACCTCGCCGGAGAGGTTGTTGTACGAGATGTCAAAATGGAAGCAGAGGCCACCAGTGCGCCCCTGCAGCCGCGGCCCAAACCCTAGCGGAAGCCTGGGCGCGGGCGGACTGCTCTGCCTGGCGCGCTTGGCGGGTGAGGGTCTGTGGCAGGCTAGTGGTGCAGCGGCGGGAGGGGGCCGACGGTAGTTGGTTGACCGGCGTCGGAGTTAACGGGACCTGGGCGGCCGCAGTCAAGCGCCTCATGCTCCCGTCGCCAGTCGCAACCCCCGCGCACAACGAAGGGAAATCATTCTTGGGGCTGTATGGTCTTTTCCCGTGCCCTTATAACAGTGAAAAAAATATTGGAAATAAGAAAGGAGAGGAATAGAGAGAAATTCCTCAGATTGAAAGAATTTGCGTGTCCAGAGTAATATTTTGAAAGGCTTACGAATTGGCTGTCAAATCCGGAGGGGCGCACGAACTCAGGGTCAAATATTGAGATTTCTCGTATTTTTAGAGACATAGACAGTTTTGTAACGTCTTTTAAATAAAAAGGACCAGGGCTAAACTGTGGGTACAAGGCATACAAACTTTTCTACTGGCCAGCATCGGCCAGGTGTCAAAGCTTTTCCAACTTGCTTGAGCTCATCATGCCTCCATTTCATGTGTGTAGTTTTCTTAGGGTTTAAGAATATAAGCCTCAAGTGATCAACAACTGGTAGGTACCACATAACCATGGCTCTAATTCGTCTCTATTTGACATCCATAAGTAAAGAAGTGATGTGAATGGCATGCCCAATCTTCCGTCAGGTGAAGATAACTATCAATTTGGTGGAGATGCGACACACCGTTCTGGCTTCAGATTAAAGGACCCAAACCCTGCAACCTTAGCTTTACATCTCCTCTGGTTATCAACCTTTTCACAATATGGTTCACCTCACCGAGAAGGCTAATCCCTACCTGCGAATCAAAGAACACAAGCATGAACTTGAAAGAACGCAACTCAATGAACTGACAATTGCTAATGTACGATTAAGCACTCCAAGTTGAGATCTCACAAATCAACGAATGGTAACTGTTCAATGATATGCGAAACCTAAAACCTAACTTGAGCGGCGGCGGCTCAATATATAATCTTTGGGGCGCGCAAAATGTGAACGCAATTGTCCACTATGGCACTGCAAAATGAACGCCGAACCCAGGAGACAGACGCACAAGCCAAGCCACTGGCCACGGCCCAGTCGGTCAACCCACTATGGCACTACAAAATGAATGCCGAAACCTAAGTGCTAAGTCACGAGTAGCAAGCGTCGAGCGCCGATATCGGCTCCAGGCCTTCCCTTGGTGGTCGCGGACTCGCCTGAGCCTGATGGCCTACACCCACTCTATCTCTCTCTCACGCCGCCCGCCCTTCCCTCTCTGGCTCTCTGCCTCTCCCACACCGACACAGCAGCACAGGCAATAGGCCTGCCTACCCTGCTGGCTACTGCGCCCATTCCAGCAGCCAAGCGTGGTACGCCATAGCCTGGACCCTGGATACAACACATTCTGATACATCATTTACAATCAATAATATAGTAGGCTATAAATACATATGTCCTGCTAGATATATAGATTCATATGGCCGGCAGTCCAGAGAATTACATACACTAGATATATAAATTGGCCAGTTCTGTTTATAGCAGCCCAGAGAAATTGGTTCACCATATTCAGCCGAATCGAAGCGAGACTGCTGGTGTATCCATCGATCACTGGTCAGTGATGGGATCAAACTTCTAGATGGCATGAGGAGAAGTTGGCTCTGACTTATACATCCCAATGCGTGTCCCCTCTTTGACATAGCCGTTTATGCCATTGATTGTCCTAGATAGGTCTTTGAGCGTTCTTACCTCGGCAAAGCCACCGCCGAGTTTCATGCCCAAGGGCCACAACATAGAGAGCTCCACGCCCACATCGCGGCTGTAGGGGACCAGGCGCACCACGTCATCTCTGTTCACCATGGCTTGCCCCATGGTTCTATTCACCAGCGCGAATGCCGTGCGGCCCTGATCCTCTGTCAGTTTCCCAACTGCATCATAGTCCTGGAACCAGTGCTGTATCCGCGTGTAGCAATGGCGCAAGTGTGCGCACGCACATACAGAAGGAGACACAGTTAGTTATCACGAGCTGCGTATAAATCATCATCATCAGCAGCAGCAGTAGCAGCAACAGTATAATAATAATAATAATAATGTCTCACAAGAGAGGGTTGAGATTAGATTTTGAAACAATAGGGTTGAGATTAGATGAGATGCAAAAGCAAATTAATAAAGCAATTCTGTTTTGAGCGGAAGACTTTCAAGTTTTATCCACGCAGTGCTCGATAAGATTTTCACGTCCCCATCCCTTCTCGTGAAATTCCACACAAGAAGCGCCAAGGAACGAGAAGCGCCACAAGAAAGCCCACTGTCACTGTCTACTTCAGCACAAGGGAGGAACGCTTGACGCAGATCGGCGGCACGCTTTGTCTAAGGCTAAGGGCAGATTGAGGGAGGAAGTGAGTCCAAGCGGCTCTCCCAACCTCAATTTAAATAGGCGCCCTCCTATAGATAAGGACGGGAGGATGGGGGTTGGCATTCAAGGCTCTCACAGTCTTCTAGAAGGGGTCACAAGCAGCACAGTAAGCACACGGTAAACAAAGCGGTTCATATTCCCTGGCACCTTCATCCTTATCTCTAACATGACTTAATGACGTGCGGAAACCAACGGACCAAATCCTATTCGTGTGTTCAGTCGATAAGAAAGTTAGGAATCCCGCACGCAGAAGATGCTTTCACTCGAATCACTCTCGGTACCCGAGAGTAGGCCTCTGTACTGAAGCAGAGCACCCGAAACCACCTTAATACTCGAGGGTGATCAGCATCACCAATTTGAGAGCCTCGGCACCCGAGGAGCGCTAATCGGGACTTACGGTACCCGAGAATTTTAGGGGTTCACGGCACCCGGAGGATAGAGCTATTCGACTAGCTTGTCATTAAGTCATACAGAGGCTATTATCAGATATATGGACTCGGGGATACCATCATCACCCATATTCCCGATCCATGCCTGTCTATTGGGCCGAAAGACAACAAGGGATGAGGCCCACGAAGGCAGGCGAATCCACCAGCTTGGAGATCAAGGCATTCTGAGGATATCCGGTGTCGTCATATCTTAGGCGATAGGGTAGAATCGATCTATTGTGCATGCCATGTAACAAATTAGGAAACCCATCTGTTAGCCGATCGGATTTACTGTAACCCTACCCCCTTTCCTATATAAGGAGGGGTAGGGGCCCCCGATCGGGATCCCGCATTCTACATTCTAGCGCATAGCTACAGGCAGTAGCCCCTGTAACCGAGCATACGAATACAGAGAAGAAGCTACTCACAACTGGATGTACGACACCACGTGCTAGAACCAGTATAATCCGTGTGTCTCGTGTGCTACCATCTGATACATTTTACATGAATAGCTGCTAGGTATTGCCGGAGCTAATTCTTCTGACAAAAGGTTTCATCTAATCTCGTGTCTAATAGCAACACCACCATGGATGGAGAGAGAGAGAGAAAAATGCAAACTGAAACCTAATTAATTAAGGAAAAATCGAGCACTAGGAAAGAAATAGAACTTTGATTAGCACACTCATACCATCATAGAGCCACCTTTTTTAAGGAAATCAATAGCAAAACCTCTGTCTTTAGATTTGCAATTTTCGGGTTGCTATGGAGAGCTCCTCTCTTCGCCTCTTCGGGGCACTGGGGGAGTTTTATTTGTCTGAGCTATTTCCATCGCCCCTAGAAGTAGAACCCATTTGCAGTGGCAGTTGGAAACACTAGCCACATATCTCTGAAAATTGGATTTCTAGGGGAGGTTGGAAAAATCAGCCGCCCCCCCTGAGAACTGATCCTATTTACACTGGGGGTTGATGTTTCCATGTAGCCTTGGAAATCAATCCCTAGGGGTGGCCTATTGGCTAGCCCCCTGGAGGCATCTCTACTACAGATGGCTCCAGATACCGTCGCCTCTAAAATAGCTGTGTCTGAAAAAAAAAACGCCTCTGAAAATTAGTTTTGTAGTACTGTTATTCAGTGATACCATCCTCATGCGATCGTCATACAATACATTCTGGTATATCATTTAAAATCAATAATATAGTAGGAAATAAATAAATACATGTGTCCTGCTGTCTAGAGAAATACACATGCTAGATATATAAATTCATAATATGGCCGGCAGTCAAGAGAATTACATACACAAGATATATAAATTGGCCGGTTGTGTTTATAGCAGCCCACAGAAATTGGTTCACCATATATAGTCAGCCGAATCGAAGCAAGACTGCTGGTGTATCGATGGATCGGTCAGTGGTCGGTGATGGGATCAAACTTCCAGACGGCATTAGGAGAAAATGGCTCTGAATCATACATCGCTATGGGTGTCCCATCTTTGACATAGCCGTTTAAGCCATTGATTGTCCTAGATAGGTCTTTGAGCGTTCTTACCTCCGCAAAGCCACCGCTGAGATTCATGCCCAAGGACCACAACATCGAGAGCTCCACGCCCACATGGGGGCTGTAGGGGGCCAGCCGCACCACGTCGTCATCTCTGTTCACCATGGCTTGCCCCGTGGTTCTATTCACCAGCGCGAATGCCCTGTGGCCCTGGTCGTCCGTCAGTTTCCCGACTGCATCGTAGTCCTGGAACCAGTGCTGTATTCGCGTGCAGCATTGGCGTACAAAAGGAGACACGAGTTAGTTATCACGAGCAGCGTATAAATCATGATTAATAACAATAATGATACTGAAGAGAGTGTTGAGATTAGATTTTGAAACAACAGGGCCGGGTTGAGATTAGATGAGATGTAAAAGGCAAATTAATAAAGCTATTCTGTTTTGGGAAGAAGACATTCAAGTTTTATCCACGTTGTGCTCAATAAGATTTCCACGTCCCCATCCCATCTCGTGAAATTCCACACACACGTACACCCCGCCCCAAAGCCACACATGATCCTCAAAAAAAAAAAAAAAGAGCGGTTCGCTCTCTCCGGCAAGAGCTGAGGGAGTTGGTGATGACTGAGCACATCACTCATTCCCCACCTTTTGAATCCAGGGAGAACCAGGCAGAAAACAAAATTAAACAAGAAAAATCAGACAACCGTCCATAACAAGGGAGATATGCACGCGTATTCGCTGCCCGCACTTGGCTCGCGCATCTTGCTTTCGGATTTTTATATACATATATGCATGCGAAAATTAAAATCCATGCCCTGCCCGATTAACATAACAGGATGATCAAGGAATCCGTATGCTTGCTAGGCATGCAGCAGAAACGAATTTTGGTTACCTGGGATTTGTCATTGGGGTCGGCAGGTACGAGAATCACGTCGTCGCCGCGGACAGCCATGTTCAAGTTTCGATCCCCCTTGCAAAATATCCTCAGCGGCCGCTGCTCAGCTTGCTGCATGCTGGGCGGTCTGGTCTCCACCACCGGACTACAGGACTTCGGTGTCCTATTGCTCTGTCACGGTGGCTTCCTCTTAAGGGCTCTTCAGAATATGCCTATGGTGATTTCAAGTGCTCGTGGTGGGTTGAGATCGATCTGCATGACCTAACTACTGATGTTTATCCTTCGTAGTCTACTACCCTAAGATGCCCAGCAGCGGGTTAGCTTTTTCAGAGCGCTACCTGGCCACCTTTGTGTAGTAGGCAGATAACATATAATTATATTTATAGACCTTAATATTGGTCAAGCACTACTATAGAAACGGTTTGTAGCAACGGCTCAATTTTTTTGTAGGGTTGGCTGTGGATGGAGGCGCCCCTACAATGGGCGTGCTCGGGACCCACGAGACCAGCCACCTCTACAAATGGCACAGTAAGGGCGGCTGGTGATACAAGCCGCCCCTACAAATAGGTTGATTTGTAGGGGCGGCTCAATCACCAGCCGCCCCTACAAATGCTGCACGTACAAAAGACTGTAGCCCCTTGAGTTCATAAAATTTCTAGAGAGAAAGAAAAGAAAAACAAAAAGAGATCCACGATTTCCTATTCGGCCCACGATTTCCAGTTCGGCCTAAGATTTTATGTCCGTTGATCCATGACCGGGTGGATGAGATATGCGTAAAACTCAAACCCTAACTTCTTATCCCCTCCCCATCCCCCCGGCACCGCAAGCCGCCTCACGGCCCCACCGCGTGGCCCCCTGCCCCGAGCACGCCTCCCCGCCCCCCAACCTCCAGCGCGAGCGCGCCGCCAGCGCGCGACGACGTCCTCCCCACAGCCCTGCACCACGACCTCTCCCCGTAGCCCCGCACCGCCGCACCAGGCCCGCCCAATGCCGCAATCCAGCGAGCCTCGAGGCGCGGGCAGCTGATGCCGCGACGCGAGCAACAGGCCAGCCTCGACGTGATGACGCCCTAGTGATGATGCAGTCGCCGGATCTCGTTGAGGAGGATGTGGGTCATCTTCCACTGGGTCTGCGTCGATCTATGAACGGTGGTGGCATCAAGGTATGAGTAGTCCAGATCTACGATGACCTCTCTCCCTCACTTGCTTCCTCTCCGGCCACCGTGCGTGCACCCCTCACTCTGTCGCTGCCTCACTTGATTCCTCTCTGAGCTGCTGGCTGCACGCCGCGCCATGGCCGTGCCGTGCTCGCCGCGCTAGGTTGCTGCGATTTCCAGGGCATAGCACTGATGTGCTGAGCTCCTACTTCTCATGGATGAATGCGTGAATCAAATTCGGGCATATTGATTGGAGATCTGGGGTTAGGGTTGCTGATCAGATCCGTTTTAGTGTTGGAACGCGGTCATATCTGTGGTCTTCTCCTTGAATTTTTAGCTGTCGTACATAGTTTTGAGTATAATGATTGGGGATCTTGACTAATGGAACATACATTAATCCTGCATAATTGCTCTTGACTTCGTGGAATATCTATGTTACGCACTAGTACTTGGCTGTTATGTCTATGTTTATATATACTGATGATTTTTGTAGCCTTCAATTGCATGGAGCTCACCTATTTCATAAATTCATTGTTTATTTAGATATGAACGTATGATCAAAATGCTTCTCGGAGGTGCTTGTTACTATCTTGTTGACAACAAACTAATCAAAGTGCTGATGGATGCCAATTTTCTAATTTTATTTTTCTATTGCTCTCGGGTAACTTGAGTACCTGGCTAGAGAGTACCAAATCCAACTGTATAACTTGGTTTGCTGATCAAAGCATCTTTCTTGTATGCAGTAATGATGGGAACAAAGTACTTCTGCCTCAGTCCACAGCCTCCAGCTCCAGTATGCATCCGATCTCTAGCTTAAGCTGAATTATTACTGCTACTGCCCTTAAATAGATATGTCATGTGTGACCTGCTGAATTACGACAAGTTAATTAAATCTTTTTTGTCCAATCAAATGTTCTCAATTCTATACATACTAGTGCTAGAAAACTATCAAATGTCCTTGACCGTGCCGGCGCGCCAACAGCCCGTGTCGACGGTGGTAACGGGGCTGCGTTCTCGATCGGTCGGAGGACCTAAATCGCAAACGGAGAAGATGGAGGATCTGCTGACGGCGCGTCATCTTCGCTGCCACAAGCAAGCAGGTGCAGGCCACCGTCACGACCACTGCCAGCAGCAGTCAGCAGACAGTGAGTACCACTCGTTAGCTTCAGTTCCTGTAGATTACGAATTCCATTTTCAGGCTGCTTTAGTGCTACAATGACATGATGTGTGACTGCAACTCTGCAAGTGGAAGGATTATTAGAAGCTTCTGATTTTGTCATGTTCGATTGCTAGATCTGAGCGCCATTGATTTTATTATTCTGTGGTCTTTCACATAAAAATCATAGTCACCATAAAATGTTATTACGATTACCGGAAAATTTAATAGATGAAATTTGTTGTTTTATTTATCTAGACTAAACTGTCCACCTAAATGTCATGGAATATTTGTTATAATCTGGTATAAATAAATGTGTATTGTCATTGAATTTCAGTACAATCGCAGAAGAAGATAAGTTATGATGGAGTTGTGCATGAAAAATATATGTTCTGGTCATTGAATTATAAATTTGAATTTTTTTTTGCGGAAAAATATAGTGTAAGGACGGTTCTAGACTAAACCGCCCCTACAAACAGGTATTATAGGGGCGGCTCGTATTATGGCCGCCCCTACAAATACATGATTTGTAGAGACGGTATGATAGAGGCGGCTGGCCGAGCCGCCTCTACAAACCATCGCCAGCCGCCCCTACAAATGCTTTATGTAGTAGTGAAGCAAAAAAAATATGAAGCCGTCATTTGTGCTTTTTGAACAGTTTTCTGGTCTAACAAAAATAACTTCCATTAAAGCGAAATCTTCTGCTTTAGGCGAAATCTTCAAGTTGGCCGGGGATCTTCAAGCAGCTTTGTTTCTGTTAACTGGGCTCAAGTTGGGTCCTCGCTTGAACTAGACGTTTGGCCGCATGGGTAAACAATGCACATCTCGAAATTGGCACTATAAAAAAATTCTGAAGCATCTCGGTTAGGTGCTCTCAGCTGGAGTCATCTAGGCCGTTCCATTTTATTGATGCATCAACCACTACTAGCAGTGATGCAAGAACGTGTTAAGTCGTTGGTGTTATTCAACGGCACGGCAAAAATTAATGGTACTACTACCGCCCCAGCTTGCTAGACTGTCTCTGTTAATCATTGGATGGGTGTTGGCTCGCACAAGCAACAAGACGTATTGGTTACAATAGTCTAACACGTACATTTGACAGAGCAAAGCATCTTGGTTAATTAGGTGTAGACTTCCGAGGTCAAGATTGGCGAGTAATTTTTAATTTTTATTTTAATCAAAGGCAGCACTCAAGAGTTCGGAAATTTAAAGAGGTCAGTCCCCATTTTGGAGTTACATTACATGGGCTGTTCTGAAAGAAAAGAAAGCAGACAGAGGTACATATAGGAAATAAAAAGGAGTGGGCTTACATCGGCTTGTCAATGTTTTTGGTTGTGCGATAGGGATAGGCAGAGGGATTCTAGCCTTCCCAGCACATTCTAATTTTTTCAATGAAGATGCTATAATGCAAACATTTGAAAGAACTGCTCACCACGAAAAATTCCATGCAACTATATGTACGATGATGCGACTCGTCTTTCCAGGCACTAGTAGCATATATTTTTTTTTCTAAGGACGCAACCTTACTCTCTACTAGTAGCTCGAGATCTACAACGATGTGGGAAGACTGTCTGTAGGACAGCTGGTCGCCATGCATGCATAAAAAGCACTGGCAGCTGATTATTGTACAGGGTAGTTCATCGACGTTCGCATATAACAAGTTTATCGATGCATCTCATTATTTGTTGTTTGTTTCTAGGTACAGGTCTGACGTGTACGTACCACTCACTCGATCAAACGTTATAAACATCCTCATGTGTTGAACGGTACGAAAAATGGCTTTGGCAGATCCCCGTGCACTAGTGAAAAACAATAGCAGCAGATCACCGTGCACACGACACGCGCAACGCTGGATGAAGACAAATACTGCATGTGCTGATGTGCATGCATGTGACCCCAGCAGGCCAGCTTTGTTGTTTTGCGGTAATTCCGGTGCTCGGTCTGTGCAGATTACTGAAAAGTTTTCTCTTTTGTGAATAGATTAGTGAAAGCTTAAGTGGGCATGCACGTGATTCCAATTCCATCTTTTAACTGCTTTTTTATGATACATCGATGGACGTGAAATATACAAAGGACTTGTGTCAGTCAACTTGATGCTCCTCTCTAGCTATTCCTATACATGGAGAGTGGCTTCCTGCTGGACTTGGTTCATCCCCCTCACGCATTCTCTCTTTTCCACACTTTCCTTCCGCAAACTGCTCTGCAATAAGTTGAGGTGAGCACTTTCGTCCCGCGATGTTTTCTCCACCTCCATTGCACATGCATGGACGACCGAGTATCATTCTATAGTTTGTTACTCGATCAAACATTATATTAGTTTGTTACTACTAGCAAACATCCTCATGTGTTGCAGCGGTACGTATAATGTGTTATAGGGTACTTGTACCAAAACCGGCTTTGCCACGATGCAAGCCATGATATGAGTTGTGTGGCGCCAACAAATGTTTGGAACTACAAACTCAAAATGAGAAAGATGAGACTGAAAGAGTTGTTCTATCGAGTGAACCTTCATGAGAACCTCGAGCTGTCCGAGTTGCACCTTTTGGTCATTTATACACTTGGAATAATGAATGTGCGCACCCGACTCTGCAGCGCATCGACCGGGCATTCACGTCGGTTGACTAGCTCAGGGCATTCCTTCAAGTAATGAATGCAAACGATCCATGCTTGTCGCGCTCTTGATTTTAAGCTAAGGAACATGGCGAAGGCGTCGAAGAGCTGGAGCATGAGGTGCGTCCAGAGCATCTGCGTACAATTGGCCATGGCTCGTGAGCTGATCGCGAACTAGATGTGGCACATAGCTGT